CGTAGCTTCTGACGAGTCATCAACGAAGTGTGTGGTCTGGCGTTGTCCTGGTGGAACACTACACCCTTCCTGTTGACCAATTCTGGACGCTTCTGGTCGATCGCCTGCTTCAAGCGGTCCAGTTGTTCGCAGTAGATGGTAGAATTAAGCGTCTGGCCAAATGGGAGCAGCTCATAGTGGATGATTCCCTTCCAATCCCACCAAACACACAGCAAAACCTTACTGGCCGTCAATACCGGCTTGGCCACTGTTTGGGACGATTCACCGGCCTTCGACCACGACCGTTTTCGCTTGATATTGTCGTATGTGATCCATTCTTCGTCGCCAGTCACCATCCGCTTCAAGAATGGGTCGAGTTCGTTCCGTTTCAGCAGCATATCGCAGGCGTTGATTCGGTCCAGAAGGTTTTTTTTTATTGTCAAATCATGCTGCACCCAAACATCAAGCTTTTTTTTTGTATCCAGCCTTCTGCAGATGGTTTAAAATGGTTTGGTGACTAACTCCCATCTCCTGGGCGATGTCACGAGATGCCACATGCCGGTCTAACTCGATGTATTCCATGATTTGATCGGTATTTGTCGTCACAGGTCTTCCGCCGGCTGGCTTATCCATGGTGTCGTTTTCACCGGCTCTGAATCGTCGAAACCATTCCTCCGCGGTTCGAAGTGATAGAGTACCATCCCCCAAAACACCATTAATCTCACGGAACGTTTCTCTAGCGGATTTGCCTTTAACGAAGGAAAACTTTAAAATAGCGCGAATTTCGGCGTTAGTGAACTCCATGTTTACACGTCTATAACTGTTGAACGCAATATCCAAACTAATCATGCATAGTCGTTTTGTAGGTTATGTCAAGACCTTTCAAATTATGTATAGTATTGCCAGATACGAGCTCTGTAGCACTTTGTACATAGCCGCGAAATTCAAAAGACAAAAAGGCGGAAGGGAGATATTTGCCAAACTAATATATGGGAATTTCACGTTCGCATTACCACGAGCAAAGGAACGGGACTCTAATAATCGGGAAAGGGTATACTCGTTGAAAAGTATGTAACAGAAAAAGTATGTAACAGATGTAATGCGTTTCCGAACATATAAAATATATATATTCTGATCAGGATCAAAAGCCGAGTCGAACTGGCAATGTCCGTCCGTCTGTCTATCCGTATGAAGCTTTCAGAGACATAGACGCAGCGCAAGTTTACTGCCACGGCCACACTTTTGAAAAATGTTTGGAGATATTTTCCTTTTTTATTAGTTTTGTAAATTTCTATCGATTTGCCGAAAACCTTTTTGACACTCCCACTCTACCGGCCACAAGCCGCCCGCACTTTTGAAAAATTTTATTTAATTTTTTAAATTTTATTCGCCGTTTTTACCGATATTCCAGAAAATTATGAAATTTCTCGTTCGCAATTCAGTGGAATTAACGGTAACGGATATCTGATAGTCGGGAAACTCGACTACAGCATTCTATCTTGTTTCTATATATACTGGTATTACAAAAAATTGTGCGCATTTGGAAGCGCTGTCGGTTCACAGATCCTTGGTCGGGACTGGAGCACCCAACTAGATCGGCTGCATAAGTGTCTTCCATCATTCTAATAATGTTCGGCGCTCAGGGGGTGCACAACCTTTTTCCTAATGCGAATGTACTCTTACACTGGACGCAGGCCGCTGGGAATTTTTTCCCAAAACTGAAATCCCTTTTGGTTCTTCTAATAATGCGTACTTTTAAGTATATTTATGTATTACTGTATGTATACGTTTTCTTTGTATATTTTCAATTTGGATGTTTTTTGTTTTAACTTATTTCTTTAATAATTCTAGTTCTTATTGAAGTTCTCATGCGTCTGCCCATTTAGGGGCTGCACTAAGCGCGGCTCTTATATCGGCTATGCCTCGGAATATTTTTGCCCCCTTATTTGGGGTTTAATTTATGCATTTTGTTTTAAGTACTCATGCACTTTGCTCACCATCTTTTAGGTTGAGTTTATTGATGTTGTTTCTCTTGTTCATAGTCGCAATGTAAGAGCACAACCAAATTCTTTAAAGGCAAACAGGTTATTTTCGTTATTGTTAATTGTGGATACCGGGGATACTCCAGGCCATCAGTTAAATCTCAAATTTGTGCAAACTATTTGCGCAGCTGTTAAAAATGTTGACAATGGAATTGCGCATATATTCACCACACTGACGACCAATTCATACAAGGTTTTTTCATAATCGTTCAGACTACTTCATATTCGTTAGTGAGTTGATTAATTAATATACCCTTATATCCATTTAATTTCGGTGAAACCTTACTCCGTTCCCAGTTTCGGTTCGAATTCGAGACGACGATAAGAATAGAGAAACTATTTGCAGGTTTTGGCTGGAAAACATTTAAAAGGTGTATTGCAAATGATCAGGTTCTGTATCTGTCGCTTCTGAATCTGTTGACTGCAGATTTTCGTCCGGTGCGCTTAAGTTATGACTAACGCTCCATAGGGGATGCCTCCTGCCCTTCTAGGATATTGGTTAAGGAATGGCGATCTGCTGTCGTACCAAGTACATTTCCAAACAAATGATAAAAGATTGATTGGTCTGCCTTTCTCTTCCTTTTGGTGTAGATTCTTTGCTGTTGCGACTGCATCGGGAAGTTAAATTTTTAAGTTTTATTTCATTTTCTTATTTTTTCCACAATTTCTACCTATATTCCAGGAAATGTTGAAATTTTTTGCTTGCACTTCCACTAACTGAGTAGTTGGGGAACTCGACTACTGCATTCTATCTTGTTTTGTCACTGTTGTATGTACGAGTGCGTGGTGAAACCTAATCCAGTTATTGAATGATTTGATGATTGCATGTAATTCCTTTAAGTGTAACAACGCGGGACCCCAGTGTGTGTTTGGTGTAGTAATCCGCCGTTGCTATGAATCGTTCTCCACGGAACTGTAGAATTACATACATTTGTTGTAAATATATGCATTGGTAAGGTTGCCGTTATCTGATTTTAGGGTTGTAGCTTACAGGTAATTGGTTGCAAACCATTGGTGAAAGTGTTGCGGTATAGTGATGTGAGCGGCAACAGTCTGGCGGTAGATCATATACATGTTCACATATGCACTTGAAAAACGACACTGCGCAAACGACGCGGCTACTTCTAACACACCCTGTATGAAACCTCAAGGATGCAGATCTAATGGAGATTCTTACTGAAGGAGAATGTTATTTAGCCACTTTATTGCCTAGTGCCAATATAAAGTATATGTATTCTTGATCAGAATTAATACCCGAGACTATCTGACCACGTCCGTCCCTATAAACACCTCGATAGCTGATGATAAGATAGACATGTAGATTCCAGAGGCATAAACGCAACGAGGCGACCCCGACCCAGAAAAGAATACATATGTATATGTCGCAGTGTTGTTATTTTCTTGTGTGATCATACATGTTGACACACAAACTTTCCGAGTGAAACGAATTCCAATATGTTCATAATGTGACAGACACGTACAGTGGTCAAAATAGATTCATAATGCGACATAATATAATAGGTTGGCAAATATCTCCCTTCCGCTTTTTTGCTCTTTATTCAATGCTTTATAAAAAGTGTTACAGTAATCGGATTTAGTTCAAATATGCGCCGTTTTGTTCGATAATCTGTTTCCATCTAGACGGCAACTTCATAATACCTCCCTCGTAGAAGCCCCCCTCCTTATTTGCGAAGAACTCGGACAGCCACTTTTCACAAGCCTCTTTTGAATTCAACATTACACCACCAAGGGCATTCGCCATGGACAGGAACAGGTGGTAATCACTTGGCGCTATGTCCGGGCTATATGGTGGATGTGATAAAACCTCCCATCCGAGCTCCCGTAGCTTCTGACGAGTCATCAACGAAGTGTGTGGTCTGGCGTTGTCCTGGTGGAACACTACACCCTTCCTGTTGACCAATTCTGGACGCTTCTGGTCGATCGCCTGCTTCAAGCGGTCCAGTTGTTCGCAGTAGATGGTAGAATTAAGCGTCTGGCCAAATGGGAGCAGCTCATAGTGGATGATTCCCTTCCAATCCCACCAAACACACAGCAAAACCTTCCTGGCCGTCAATACCGGCTTGGCCACTGTTTGGGACGATTCACCGGCCTTCGACCACGACCGTTTTCGCTTGATATTGTCGTATGTGATCCATTCTTCGTCGCCAGTCACCATCCGCTTCAAGAATGGGTCGAGTTCGTTCCGTTTCAGCAGCATATCGCAGGCGTTGATTCGGTCCAGAAGGTTTTTTTGCGTCAAATCATGCGGCACCCAAACATCAAGCTTTTTTTTGTATCCAGCCTTCTGCAGATGGTTTAAAATGGTTTGGTGACTAACTCCCATCTCCTGGGCGATGTCACGAGATGCCACATGCCGGTCTAACTCGATGTATTCCATGATTTGATCGGTATTTGTCGTCACAGGTTTTCCGCCGGCTGGCTTATCCATGGTGTCGTTTTCACCGGCTCTGAATCGTTGAAACCATTCCTCCGCGGTTCGAAGTGATAGAGTACCATCCCCCAAAACACCATTAATCTCACGGAACGTTTCTCTGGCGGATTTGCCTTTAACGAAGGAAAACTTTAAAAAAGCGCGAATTTCGGCGTTAGTGAACTCCATGTTTACACGTCTATAACTGTTGAACGCAATATCCAAACTAATCATGCATAGCGTCGTAGGTTATGTCAATACCTTTCAAATTATGTATAGTATTGCCAGATACGAGCTCTGTAGCGCTTTGTACATAGCCGCGAAATTCAAAAGACAAAAAGGCGGAAGGGAGATATTTGCCAAACGAATATATAAAATATTCAAACGAATATATAAAATATATACTTAGGCCAGCAGAATAGAATATTCTTTATGCGCAGTCCTTCTTTTCACAGCTTATTGTGAAACCTATTAATTGGATAAAACGTTGTTTTCAACTTACCACTATTTAATATTGTTACTATAATATTACTGCTTTTTATTTTTAGGAACTCTGTAAATACATGCGTGGAGAACTTAATGCAGAGCGCGAACTGCACATTATTCAGTATATAATTGGATTGGGCATTGAGAGGGAAGAATTACGAGACGAAATATTCATTCAATGCATTCGTCAATCAAGAAACAACCCAAATATTGATTGGGCAGACAGAATTTGGCTAGTCTTGTGTCTTTCCATTGTTGCTTTTCAACCGAGTAAACTTTTATTCAGGTAAGGGAACATTATCTTTTAATATAAATTGAAGACCAAATTAATCTCTTTAAATTTTGTTGCGAACTTGTATTATAAGTTATATTATAAGTTATAAGGGGTGATTTTTCATACAGCTTTTCAACTTAATATTTAATTGCCATTGCATTCAAATTGTGTCATTCAAACCTTTGCTCAATCGATTGGGACCAGCACAAATTATATTATTCATTGTATTTAACAATCTAGATCTGGAAGTGGCGTTATTTTTAAAACATTTCGAGATCATATATAAAATGTGTAACGGCGCCTGAAGCGTTTGATCCATATATATGTACATTTCTGCCTTAAAGTATGCACTTTAATCATAAATAACTTGGGCGTTCCTAATTATTACACTCCGGCTGCAGCTACATCGGAGTAATCGACAGTGAGCAGCTGTAACTGGGTTTCAATCCAAAGCTCAGCTTGGCCTGAACCCACATTCTGGTCACGTTATTTTCTTGAAAAGTTCCGAAGCGATGTGCGATCTTGAAAATTTCCTTGATTTGGTTAAATTGGCGGAAGACCACAAAATGTCAATACCATAAAATCGTCTTTTATTCGCAAAAAAGGCTAATCAAAAATTCTTATTAGCCCACCATTTTGGTGACCCCGACGTACTGGATATATAGTATATATATTAGTACAAATTATACAGAGTTATTAAAGGCTTCAACTTTAATTCGCTGTTACTGGTGATTGATTCGTGCATAACCAATATATAGTGCAATCATACAAAGCTGTGTAACGCTTAAACTTCGCTGTTACTGCTGAGTGATTTGTGCATAAACAATATTTATCTACAATAATTGCACATTAAAGCCAAATAACGGAGGCTGCTGCTGATTCTTCTTTGCGCTCATCTTCCCGCTTTAACCGAATTTGTAGTTGTTGCTGGTGATGCAAACAGGGTGACATTTTTGAGGCGCAAGGCGTCAGAGTGGAACGATAAGCAGATTCGTTATCAAGTTCTGCGTTAACTTAATTTGACGATTCCGTTCTGCATGTGAGGTTGGAGCTGTTCGATGAGCTGCAACAAACGTTGCGGAAAATTCTGAGCGAGCTTGAAGAGCTTGATTTGTATCAAATTGAAAGCGATTTGAGTGAACAATTTTATGATGTTCTTATAACGCTTAAGTCCTCAGTGCGTGGGGAGATTTCAAAGCGCGCCTCACAATTCCACGCCCACTTAACCTTTTCTGACGGCATTTCTCCGTGCGATTGTGGCCATCAGAAACGTTCACTCCGGAATAGGACACCATCGCTGCCCCTCTTGAGCTTCCAAAATTCGATGGAGGCTATGCTAACTGGCTGGATTTTTATTCTATGTTTACGACGATAATAGATAGCCATCCGACCTCACAAACATAGAAAATCTGCAGCATTTTCGATCCTGTTTGAGGGACCCGGCGTTGGAAACCGTTCGCTCACTGGGCTAAGGGCAGTGCATCTCGGATAAATTCAACGCCCATATTCGCGCTCTAAACGGATTGGGTACAACGGAACAAATTGCTGGATGAATAATAGTCCAAATACTTGTCCAAAAGCTTGATCCGGCAAGTCAGTCCAAATGGGAGGAGCATTTGGAGGACTCAGTTTTCAAAAATGTAATTCCAACGTGGGAATCAATGGCATCATTTATGGGGCAGCGCTGCAGGACTCTGGGACCGCCCTGACAAGCTATGCGCTAGGCAGCCAGGTGGGAAATGATCGTACATCTAACTTGCAGGCAGCCAGGTGGGAACTGATCGTACATCTAATATGCGTAGATCAGCCTTTCTTGCCACAAATCTTAACCTTCTGATATGTGCTTTCTGTAATGCACTCAATGTGCTTTCTGTTCGGGGCACTCAATTCAGTATTGTCAGAGCTTAAGAACCTAAATCCAGCAAGTCGATTTCGAGAAGCAAAAAGGCTGACTCTTTGTATTAATTGCCTTAAGAGTGGACACTGCGATCTCGAACCTCCGAGTACTTGACTTTTATCACTGCTGTCATTGCTTTCAATATAACCGAACATTGCCCAACTTTAACATCGACGTTTGTAACTGGAACATACCCCAAAACCTGAATCGCGTGAATCCAGGGTTCAATCGCCACCAGCGATTGGCGTCATTGTTGATAGGCTATTCTATTCTATTTTACGAACTGCTATGCGTTGGTCAAGTCAGACTTCTGTCGGGATTGCCTCTAATTCAAAAGACTCGTTTAGGCCGCGTTGTTTCCAGAGGCTGCAGTCGCTCCAATGGTATGGTTTTATTATTGTCGTGCGCGGTTGTTCCGCCCATTGAGGAAATACAACTGGATCGTCGTGAGGTGCTTCTTCGGTGGTTTTTGTGCTGAGCCGATTGTCTGGGCTACTAGGGAAGAGTTTGACTGTAAAGCACAATTCGTTTAACACTTTGCTCGCTTGCCGGCTGGGGATTATTCTGTTCGATTGCCAACCAAGTTCAGTTTAGATCTGTTGGGGGAGTCCTGCAAAGACTCGTATCTCTTGAGAGAAAACTAGAGCATCGTCCAGCCGTCAAGGCCCAATACACAGCTTTCATTGAGGAGTACTTGCAGATGGGACATATGTCTGAAGTTCCGAAAGAAGAATCAAATTCCTGTCGGTACGTTTTGCTAAATCGTTTTGTTATAAAAGCTCAATGTTGATATAAAACAGATTCTAGTGACGCGTTTATTGATCAAGCTTCGTTCACAAGATGTGCTAAAATATTTATTTAAAAAAAAAAGGTAGCCAATTATAGAAATTACCATCATTTAACAGAAGAGCTAATATTCTCCGAATCACTTTATTCATTTAGAAGTAATAAATAAATAAATAATTTAAGGCGTACCATAGTGACTTCAGTTGAATGAATATCTGTATTTCCCAAACACATTATACCAGTAATATTGTATTATTATATCTATAGAATTATCAACATTTTTCTTAAAGCATAATTTATATATTTCACAGATATTTCGTTTCCTTTATAAAAAAAAATTTGATTGACTTAGATGGGAAGTTCAGGCAATACGCACAATGGTGCTTTGATAACTGCAAAAGTACCAAAGTATCAACACGGATGTACCCCCCATCAAGTGTCGAAGTCGCGGTAAGTCTTCAAATTACAATTTCGCCTTGAGACATAAACTCTTCCTAAAATGGAAAGAGCTCAGGGGTGTATGCTGCCGCTATGCCAGTATATCTAATGGAAATGATATAAGGAAAACTATATTTATTTATCCAAACACTATAAACATTTTATTCATTTAATAATAAAATAAAATATCGTATATAAGGCCATGTTTTATAGTTGATTAGAGCAAAAAAAAAAATAGAATTTAATTTTAGTCAACCTAATTTCATTTAATTCTTTTTATCGTTAAGTAATTACTTTAACTATAGGTTATTTGTTCCATATTTTTTGTTTCTTTAATTTTTAAACTATGCAATATTTTATTTATATTTCCGGTTTAAGTTGCAAACTTTACTTGAATTCAGTTAATACTTTATTTAATTTGTTTTCTTTCCTAATTCATGGTCTTTTTAGTTATTTCTTTCTTAAATTTCGGTAATTTTGTTTAATTTTATCTTTTAATTCTGTTTCACTAATTAAATTTCACTAAACTTCTGTTTAATGTAAAATTCACTTTCTTGTCTTTCACTTTTAATATTCTCCTGTCAATTCTTTAATTATCTTTATGTAGGGATTGTGCAATTTATAGGGTATTAAGTATGTATGTATTTGTTGATATGTTTGTATAATATGTTCACGTAAGCAAGTGTACATAAAAAGAAAATAATAAGTTCACTTACCCAAATCCATCCTATGGGCCCAGAGGAATTGTTGTTGGGATTTAATTATCCTAATTTAATTGATTAAAAAATTTACACTTGTGTAGATGTAGATGTAGAGTATAGATGCAGAGGTTATATTTATTTTTTCATTCGCTGCTCTCCAAGGTTTTTTAGTTTTCCACAAAAAAGGTGTGCAGATCTTTTTCTGCTTAGAACCCCGATATAAGTCACTGTGGAGCCCTATCCGCAGAGACGTGCACTCTAACAGCCGGGGTGCTCCGCTGCCCGTGGCAATGTATACGCTAGATTTGTCTCCTATATTTAAAAAATGTTACACATTACTATTCGAACTTTAGCTTGACTTATTTCCAGAAATTCCTTTATTGGGGAAGTATATTATTAAAAATACATGATCTTGCAGAAATTCCTTTATTGGGGAAGTATTAAATTTTTTCAATGGGCACAGCCAATGAAATTTTGAAAGGTGATCAACCACTATGAGCAAACCAATATATCCTCGTTTGCTCCTCGGATAGGGACCTAAAATATCTACATATAAACGTTCAAATGGCCTGTCAGATATGGCGGGCTTACCCATAGGAGGCTTTAAGGATTGATTTGGGGCCTTAGTGCATTTACACAAGCGCGAACATACGAGCGCACCTGTGACACCATGCCTGGCCAATAAAAGTTACGCCGTATAAGCTCCAAGGTCTTAGCCATGCCACCATGAGCTGTCACTACTGACTCGTGAGCCCGACGAATGACACTTTCTGTTAATCCTTTGGGTATCCAAAACTTCCATGCCTGCTGCATACCTAAATCTGTGCCATCTTCATGTTTAGTTCGAATAAATAAATATTTACCCAATACTTTTATATCTGAATAATTTCCTTCTGAAGTTTCCGATTCATTTCGCATTCGTACATAATTTTCCGAATCAAAACATGCAGAGTCGATATTAATTTCTAGCTCAATCAGCTCAATGGCTGACACCTCCTCCACGTGCATTCTTGAAAGGGCGTCTGGCACTATATTTTCGCTACCTCTCCTATGGCTTATAGAGAACCTATAGCCCTGCAAACGCTGGGCTGTCGCATAAGCCATAGTAAACTAGCATGGTCTGTTATGAGGAGCTCCAAATAACACCTAAACTTTTCAATTTCCAACACAGCCGCCAAGCACTCACGTTCGGTAACGCTATAATTGCGTTCAACATTGTCATGTGAAAGCTGCACTAGCACAGCACCCACCCCACAATCGCTTGCGTCGCTATGTACGAAGAATTTCTTAGAGAAATCCGGGTTTTGAAGGACCGGTGCCGATGTGATTACATTCTTCAAATTTTGAAAAGCAGTCTCCGCTGCGTCTGTCCATAACATTTTTTTTTTTTAGTTGATAAGACTTCAGAAATGGGGAAGACTAGTTCAGAGAAGTTACTGATGAATCTTCGATACCATCCAACCAGGCCTAAAAAGCTTCTGACTTGTTTGATCGTCTTAGGCGATGGCCATGTTTTTATAGCCTCTACTTTGTTAGGATCAGTCGCGATACCACCATTTCCTATAATGTTTCCCAGATATTCAACTTCTGCAACGCAAAAACGAGTTTTAGCCACATTCAAAGTCAAATTAGCCCTACGAAATTGTTCTGCTAATCTGATAAGAATGGACATGTGTGTGTCAAAGTCTTCTGACACTACACACATATCATCAAGGTAACAAAAAACACATGTTTTCAAGTCTGCAGGGATCAATTCATCGACTAACCGGCACATGGTCTGTGGAGCATTACAGAGACCAAACGACATCACTGTAAATTGATATAGTGGCCGCCCTGGCACTGTAAAAGCTGTAAAGGATTTAGCCTCATCTGTGAGGGGTATTTGCCAGAATGCATCCTTCAGATCCAATTTGGTTATGATATTGGCTTTGGGAAGCCGAGAAAAAATGCCATCTATATTTGGCAGTGGGTACGCGTCTTTTTTAGTGCACTCGTTTATGCGTCGTGCATCTAACAAAGGCGTACCTTGCCTGGTTTAATAACGAGCCTCATCGGAGAGCTCCAACGTTCTTCTGACAACATTCTATCCACCTCTACGTAGATAAGTTTCTCTACGGCGGGAGGAACGTTTTTTGTTTTATTGGCTTAGCGTCACCGACGTCAATATCATGGCTTAAAAGGGATGTTTTTCCCAATCCCTGTTCTTTATAGTTAGGAAATAAAATAATTACGCTCTCTAATCGCTTTTCTTGAGGACATTTTTTTAGATTAGTATCAGTACTATCTACCATTGGTTTATAAGTATCAATGCAGGATATTACACCTGGTGCAAACTGAAAAATTCTCAAAAAATCTATCCCTAAGATGACACGCCCATTATAAGCTACATCCGTGCTAATAAAGCCAGTTATTTGGTGGCTGCTTCCATCAGCTGTTTTTACACGTGATGAGATTTTTTTAAAACTTGGACAGGATGACCAATCTTGGGCAGCCAAGTGTGCTCCCAAACAACTTATATTGGCTCCTGTGTCTAATAAGCCAATTTCTTTTAGACCTAAAAAGGAAACAGAAGATACAAGCAGCTTACGCGCGCATTTAATCCTATGCCAGAAATTTAGCATACGAAGAGTGTTCCGTTTTGTAACACAATCTAGGGTAGTTACTGCTGAAAATATATATTATTTGCTCTGATCTGGTTATAATGAGTTAATTTCTCATGATATGGTTTTATTTGACGAAGTAAACGAATGTCCGAGTGTTGATGTGGAGATGCCTGTTTTAAAAGTACAAGTATCTGCCGTGGGCAATCTGATTCTTCAGATTGATATTCATTTGCAGATTCTAGTTTTGGGCCATTCGCCTGCCGAAAAGGCATGTTGGGCATTGCGGTTTATAGAAATCTTTTGCTCCGCAACCATAGCAAAAAATTCTTCGTTCTGCGAGGCACATGTCCCATGCGTGTCCTGGCTGATCACAGTTCCAGCAGACCATAAGTCGTTTGGATAGTTGCAAAGCCTCTACAGATACAGACTACGTCTCTGAGGCCAACTGTAAGGACTCTTCAGTCTCCACAGCAGCAACGGCTCTTTTAATGACCCTCGGTGGAATATTGACCTTGCTGGATTGCTTAAAATCCGCATCTTCTAGCACCATTTCACGTTTCTGGACCAGTTGTCGGAGATGAGCTACCGAATAAATGGAGATGTTACTATATTGTCTTAGCTCTGGAATTAATATTTCTTTAAGCTGCTGAACAAGTCTGTACTCGTCTAAAGGAATAGTTAGTCGAGAAACGATTGTCATAATGTCCTCATAAAACGAGTCAAAGGGCTCTCCCTCTTTCTGCTTTCGTGCACGAATTTCTTCCATAAGGACATCATCGTCTTTATGGTTCTGATACTGATTTTTTAGTGCTGCACAGAAATCTTCCCATACTACGTCAGGGATCTCTTTACGGTATCTCCAATACCATTCTCTTGCTTTACTTGTCAAGGGAACATGCAAGTTTTTGCATACAATTTGCAATACAATAGCAAAAATTTGCATACAATAGCAAAATAGCAAACTCCTGAGCTGTAGGACCATTAACTGTTCCGTCATATTTTAATCCCCAACCCTGAATGATCTGGGTTACTTTCTCTGGACTCAACATTTTGTTCGAGCGCGTGTCACTCGGCCTTGCCGAAGCTGCACTAATGTGAGAAACAGGCGGAGATGGAAGTTGCCGAGCAATACTAGGAGAATGTCAGCCGTTTGATAGGCTTAAGTTGTCAAATTTGGTTTGTATGATATGTTCGATCCTACTAAAAATTCTGTCATAATCGATTTCTCTAAAATGATATGCAGGCGGATCGGAACTTCGCGGCTGATAGCGAATATTTCTATTTCGACCTCCACCACCCCTAGGCTGTCGACCTTGGAATTTGTTGGCTTTGTGACTCATTTAAGTCAGTTGCCCCCCTCTTCTTATCTACTTGATAATTTAGGGTTACCCCAGAATCGGGGTTTCTTTTACTTCGTGTGTTATATGCTTTTGGAATAGCACCTTTACATGCAAGTCCTGTATTACACCAGGTGCTTTGCACTCAGGACACTCTTGATATTTTTCTAGATGTGCCACGATACTCTGAAATCTATGTCCACATGCAGTATTAACTATTTCTGTAGCCAGCAGATGTTCTAAACAAAGATTGCAAGTACCTTCAGGCTCTCCTGCAGATGCATATACCTGCAAGTCCTCTCTACTGCGTGCTAAAGGCATATTTGTTCTTTAAATGTTCCGAAAAATTGTATAATTATATTTTTTTTTTT